TACTGTGAATATCTTAGTTTTTTCAAATTATGTTTACAACGTATAGGTACAGCTAAAATAATAATGTAATAACCCTACGCTCCGGGCGAAGTTTAGGCATTTACATGCCGAACACTCTAGAGTTGCCCTAATGATTCTTATTCTATGCTAGTCTGTTGCTGAACCGGCGCAATACAATGAGTGTAATGTGAGTCGCCACCCGAATGATCACCTAGGTGGCAATTATTAAAGTTCAACAGAAGATTGCAGTGGAAATAAAAAAAACAATAATAGTTCAAAAGCCATCGACTGTCTAAGTAGAACATACGATGAAGATGAGAAACAGGAATAACCTTACCGTTCAGTTCTCATTCTTCAATATTACAAACGCTGATTGAAAACGGAGGTGAACCGTGACATAATCATTGCATAACTTTGTCACTCTCAAAAGGAACGATTTATAATATCCGTCTAAAATGAAAACACATTTATTATAAAGCTTGTTTATTTAACGTCATATTTTGCAAAATAGACAAATATACATCATTTTAAATTGTCATTTTACTTAAAAAATCCGCATCAACATTTAACAGTAAATTTTTACATACATAGGTACACTTAGATACAATTTAATAAGTACGTCTTCTTTATTTTAAAAGGTCTATGACAAAATAATTTTCCGATTACCGTGTTTCGTAATTCAAAAACAACCAATCGGAGAGTTGCAAGGAATTTAGCGTCACTTTAATTTTGATTGGCTGTTATTTGAAAATTAGTACAATCATTGATCAAACCTTATCTGTTGGCCATATGAACTTGTTATTTCAATAAAAGTAGGAACTTTTTCATTCTCCGTTCACATTGTATCAATAAACATTTCGGTGTTGTGCAGTTCAATTTACGTTTCAAAATAAATAAAGAAAACATAAATAAGTTATGGAATGAAAATGAATATCATCGCAATTTCACGTTTTAGTTAATACGCTTCGTAACTCTAATTATTGTCAAGGTCCTTAATTTTGATTTATTATTTAATGAACATAATGTAACTTGGAATTCTTAAACCAATAAAGTGACTCGCCAATTTAACTTAAATTTTAATTTTTACTTTTAAATTTAACAACTTTAAACTGGAATTTGAAAATTTTTTTTTATAAATCCACTCGTCATTAAAAATTATTATAAAAAAAATCTTTAATGGCGTTCTATTTACGTATAATGGTCTCAATTCGCGTCATTACTGTGTGACTTATCGATACTGGCTTTTAAATTACGTATTCCCGTTCCATTATTCATACGACCAGTCTTATTCAGTATACTTTAATTCAATTAACATAATTGCGTTTTCAACAACTAACAAAAATAAAACCTAAAATAACATTACGTATTCGTAAATTTGGTTACAGATACATTAACATAAGTATTGGATATTAACTCTATGTGCACATTTTAAAAGGTCATAAACGTTTTTCTGTAAACAGGGAGTTAATTAAACGATTTTATCTCTTTAAAATAGTGACTAATTTGGTTAGAAACCCCCGGGATTAGGTGGGTTAGGGTATATGATGGATGTCTTAATCCCCACTGTAAATTAATGTCTATTTACCTTACATTTACATGACACTCGGATGCTTGGAGCCGGTTCACATGACGAGTTTTAGACGTGCGTACAATGCGCGTTTTGCTAACTACACGAATATTTTTTCATAAGTATGTGAACACCATTTTTTATTGACACCAAGTGACGGGACGAACGAGTCGTGCGCCAAGTTGTAAGCGACTCGCCTATCCTTAGCAGTTGCAGTGTCACTCAGTCTTTTAAATCACAAAGATCTGAAGAGCACTGTCCCTGCACCCGTCACCCTGAGATGTAATAATAATAACACACACACTCAACATAGCCCCGCACTAGGGAAACCCTTTGTAGCCATAGGGTGCCCTGGATACACACATAGACAACCACAAATTACACCCATACCCACGAGAGAAATAAATGTAGGGCATACAAATACTTCTCCCGCCCGGGAATCGAACCTGGGACCTTGGCGTGGTCAGTCATCTTAACCGCTCGGCCACAGAGGCAGTTATAAGTTGACAAAGTCCATATGCCTGTAATTTCAGCAGCACCTGTTATTTTACTTGTTGGCGGCAGAAATAGGTAATGTGGCAGTTCCCTGGGCGAACACTTTCACAAGGAGCTCTGAGCTACTTAAATCTACCGCTACGTATGAATTAAACTCGTTTGACGCGCGTCTAACTCTTGTCATTTGAAATGGACCTTATGCATGAATATATGTTTTTTTTAATAACCTTCTAGGGTTGTACAGGGTCAAGGGCAAGATCAAGGTTGACACTTAAGATTTAAATCCAACTCTATGCCGCTTACGGTCAGAACGGTCCAAAGTACAAAGTATCAAGCTTGACGTGCTCTTAACTGTACATATTCTAATTCTTCAAGGTTCTATTCTGTAGTTAAAATTGTGACACAGCTTATATTTAAGTTTGCGTTCAAAAATGACTATGTGCCATAGAATCAATACCATTATTAAAACTAGAGCTTAACATAAAATAAATTATTAATCTACTCATTGAATTAATTTTAACATTCATTATTTATTAGAAAATTTATGACTAGCTTTCTTTTAAAGGAAATGAAATGCACCACATTTTTGTCACCAAGTGTCTAAAAAGAAGGGACGCACACTTAAAAACAAAACAATCTACCGGCCATTCATAATTATGGCTGAAAGTTTATACCTCTGGTAGCGTACTTTTTATTGGTGTTACATAAGGTATCAATGACAGATGCCTACCTTTTTTAAAATAATTACATTAAGTTGGCTGGATTATATCGGATTGGTTACTATTCTTTTTATGATATTAAGTGAATGGACGAACAGGTCGTGCGCCTGGTGTTAAGCGACACGCATATCCATAGTAATTGCAGTGCCACTCATAGATTAAATCGCAAAGATCTGAGGTGCACTGCCACTGTGCCTTAGTATCTTGAGTTTGAGATTTCGTAGCTCAATTAAGTTTTAATTACAACTGCCGAATGTCAACCTCATAAAAAACCTCACACATTAACGATGTTCATAGAGTTGGAAATCTGGACTCGAGAGTTTCATTTATATCATAAAATTACGCACTTTATAAAACACCTAAACCATTTTTCGACACTAGCCCATACCAGTAGAAGTGACACCAAAAAAACAACCCATCCTGAAATAGGTTAGAAATCTCTTTAGACAAAATAATACTCCATTAGGTACATTTAAGACAAAGATACATGGGTACTCGTATGGCACTATACAGTATTCTAAATTAAGGATGTTTCAAGGTATAATAGTTGAGCTAAAATAGCTACACTTGGTCAGGCGTAACGTTATATAAAAATATCTTATTTCTTACTCTAATCATTAACAACCATAGAGAAGGCTGTTGCAACAAACGGTAACTGCTTTGGACGTTCTATTTTTGAAACGCAATAATAAAATAAACAAATATTGTACTAGTATGAGTCAATACTATGAACTGAGCCTCAAAAAGATAAGTACCATTGTAATTTTATTTAATTTCTTATTCTTTTCTATGTTACATACTATATCTTTAGATAGGATCTATATCAAGACGTTAGAAATTGGCATTCTTGGACATAAGGTTCTTGCATTGGATACTTAGCACTTACAGATATGAAAATGAAGAAAAAAAAACGTAAATAACAATACACTGGATTCCAATTTTTTAGAGATCAAATTCATACGTTTACAATGAAAACTATAAATCTCTTACTTGGAATTGTTTTGAATGTATAATTATTCAATTAAGGAAATTGTTACTTTTAACACTTTAAAACATCTGACATTCCATCTTGACAATGTTTCCGTAGGATCATGTAATCAGATTTGCGTGAAATTGTTAGGAGTTTCATGAAACCTCGGCATGTGATATAGATGCAAACTTCTTAAGTGACCTAGAGTTAAAGACACGACGTATGTTTTAAGCGCAGACGACCAGCCAATTGCCAGCCAGAAAGCCAATTGTTTCGTTTGTATCAATTGAAGCACGCTTATTAAGTATACAAACGCGCGAGAAGCGCGTTCGAGGCTCTACAAAAACGTAACGAGTTTTACGTGCGCTTTGATTCAATTTAACAACAATAACGTCGCATTGCAAGGCTGAGAAAAGGGACTGGGGAGGAGCGTACGCTCACGCCATTAAGTCATTCCTCCACCCGCAAGTCATCTATGTCGTCATGTATGCACAAAAGGTATATTTAATGCACGCACGTGTCGCCCGCTTAACGAAAGCGCGCTTACGTTGCCTTAGAATTTGTAAGCGTGTGCAAAGGTTTACTGACTGCGACTAAAACGTGTTAATAATAAAAACGCACACGCACACACTCATAGCCCCGCACTAAGGGAAACTCTGTATTGCTGATACGATAGAACGCGGCTAAGTACTAATTTTTTTTTTTAAATATCATAAAAAACCATAATTCAGTTTTAGAATATTGAAATTTTTTTAATGATATTGCAGCTATGCTTCGTTAGGGTAAGTTCCGATAAGTCGAACATGTTAACTAATTTTAACTATTTTTCAAAGAGTATTTTGTGCTCTATCTTTTGCCATTTACAATGGATATTTAACGATTTGTCACTTAGCTGCGTTTTGGTTAGTGAACGGCAGCATATATACGTAACCACAAATTACACCCAACCTCATGAGCCCGGGAATCGAACCCGAGACCTGTGCGTGGCTGTCCAGCTGGTGATCATTCGACCACGGAGGCAGTTAATGGTTAATGCACGTCATCTGCGCGTAAAAAATACGCCGTATGCATCGGCTCTTATGAAATTAAAAATACGGAACATTCTTGTGGTTCGTGAAATTACTAATCGGATAGAAGATAATTAATTATATGTTATACATGATCCTACGGCGACAAAAATATTAAGTTATCAGTGGTTTACAAATTTATCAGTCTCCATAATCATCAATCAATATTCTTCTAAAAACTTCACGATAGTGTCAAGACTATTAGAAAAAACTCATCGCATTTGTTACACGAAACACCTTGAACTTGCTCGATGCTATTTATGTTGCGTTATTTACATAAAAAATTATAACAATCATACAACGTACTACACAAAATCACGTCTCCCGTTCACTGTAGTTCCACAGTCTATGCTGTTTCTTTCACTTACAACAGCCACTTCTGATCCGTCTGTTCTCCTTCGACATGTCGAGAAGATTCTTGAAGACTGCACAAAAGAAAAATCATCATTAAATTCCTTCATTTACCAGGATCAAACTATAGTACAGTGAGCAACAAAAGAATAATTTTGCCGGGTTAGCACTTTAGAGCTTCCGTCACATTGAACTATACTTTTATGATATGAAATGACGAAACGAACTAGTGGTACGCCTGTTGGTAAGCGACAGGACTACTAATAACAGTTGCAATGTCACTCAGAACTTTAAATTGCGAAAATCTGAGGGGCACTCACTCTACCGATCCCGTCACCCTGAGATCTAAAGTTGACAAGTCCCATGTGTCTGTAATTTCACCAATTATGCCACATACATGTTTATTCGTTGCAGTTCATGGATTTTCGCTATTGCATGTTGGAAATTAAACATTTATATGGAAGCCGTGGTAGCCCAATGGTTTAACCTACTGCCTCTCAAGCAGAGGGTCGTGGGTTCGAATCCGGGCTCGCACTTCTGAATTTTTCGGAATTTATGTGCCAAATTTAATTTAAAATGTATCATGAGCTTTTCTGTAATGGAAAACATCGTGATGAAACCTGCACGTCGAAGAAGGTACACAACCTTCGGAAAATTTGTGAAGTCCCGAACCCGCATTGGGACAGCGTAGCGGACTATGGCCTAAACCCTCGTCAGAAAGGAGACCCGGGCCCAGCAGTGGGACATAGAAAATGGTTGATATATATAAATCAAACCTGTGTTTTGAGCCCTTTACAGGTCGTGGATGACTGAAATGATATTAGTCATCAGCCGGTTATGTCTGATGTTAATACCAACCAAACAAACCACACTATTTCCACTTAAAAAAATCTGAAGCTCACAAAGGACTACAATACTACTCGTTAATATCCTTTATTTATTTTTCTATTTTCTTTCTTATTCATAAATATCATTCAATTAAAAAAACATACTGCTAAAGTATTTTGCAAATAATTGTATGTAGCGTACATTGGAATATGTTATTTGGTAAATTAATAACAAGACAACTAAAAGAATGTACTCGTATTACATTACATTATATTAGACGTAACTAGTTAAGTGACGCAGCCGTGATAATGAGAAAAAAAAACTTGAAAAATAACAAATATTCCCGAGCATAGGACCGACTCAATAATTCCATAAATAATGTTTAATATAGTCTCTCTTGTCTCTCCATTATCGACTTAAGTGTTGTACTCATAGACATATCTATGGCTGTACTACATGCGGGGTGGGTGCCTGAAGAGCTATCATACAGACTTTAGGCTTCAGTCTCCCACGAATGTAACTAATTCTAAGTACCTTATTAATATGCGAAGTGAGTAGAAGAATAAATAATTTTGTATTGTATAGTGCTGTATTTCATTTAGGTCTGTGACGCCTGTTTTGTGAACTATGTTAATAATATTTCTATTTAATTATATTTCAAGTAACGTAGGTTAGTACATACTTTTGTACAAGTGTGCAAAAAGCAGTAAAGATGATTGCCATTATCTTTGCAGATTTTAAAAATTCTTCGCTTATCCACAAACGGTTCACGAGCAATTATTGTTTCTTTTGAGAAATAGAACATTCTGTTATCGGAAATGGCCTGGTTTCTGGAAAATTCTCGGTAACAACTTCTCCTAAGAGAATAATAAAGTAACTAGTGAAACAGGCTGTACTGGTTTCATGTTTCCTTTGAAGGAAATCTCTTAAATGTAAATACATCGCTGAGTAAAACTACGTTTTAAAGTTGTATGTATATTTTAAATACGTATATAATAAAATTCTCTTTTATGTTCTTTCATAATAATTCGTTGAAAGATTTATTCAATACTTATGTTGTATGGGAAGAAAATTTTTGCACGTCACTAGCTCGGAATGATTTTCCTCTCATTAGAAATCTGCGCCCAAAAGCGTATTTTTCCACACTAGCGTGGAAAAGGGTTTTTGAAATTCAAACTTGACGATGGACTGTGGTGCACTTAACTTTTTCTTTCGACGAAAAAAAAAACATATGACACTTTCAACAATTTGTCGTACATTATTTACGTAATATAAATCAAATGATATATTATTCTTCTTATTGTTGACATTAAATTGACAACGATAACTAATATTGTTTATTAAAACTGATTTCTTATAGTTCATCTGTTTTTCTTTCATCTACCATTTTCCTCGCTGTAATGAGGTGAAATGTTGTGTCTTTCGCTTGGAAGCAAAGTTGTTTTGTTTCTCGTCGTGCTTTGAAACCCACGCTACACTCAGGATTCTATTTTTTTTTTCAGAATTATATTTAATTTTAGAATTCTTCACTTGCTCAGGTTTCAATACAAGTACTTGCGTCAAACAACAACTTTGCAGCCTTACATAACAAATAACTATCGTAGATTATAGTAGATTAAATGTGTAGCAAATTGTAGAAGTTGTGGCTTCTAACCGCTTTATCAAATCGCTGTTAGCTGCTTTATCTTGCTAAAATTCCTACAAAACATACCTTAACAAGTGATCGGACAGGCTGTTGTAAAACAAATATGGCGAAAATGACGACTCCTTGCAAAGCATTTATGAGGTCGAACATGGACCACACGGACACCGCTTCAGTGCCAGCACCAGCCGCCCAGGACACCACCTCCAGCACCCACGAGAGACCCATAATTCCTGACAGCAGGCAGCAGGTACGAAATCTGCGTAAAAATATTAATTATAAATCATAATATTAAGTTCCTGATATTATTGATTTTTTTTTAATTTCACGATGTTTTACTATCGTGATATTCATATATTTTTTGTGTAATAATTCCACTAGTTTGTTATAATTATTAATACAAAGATCGAACACAAAGAAAATTGGTTCGATATGACAGGACTTGAACCTAGAACCACGCTGTCCCGTAGCGTCTCTCTGCCAACCGAGCTACAGGTCGAGTCGGCAGGTCGATGAAATTCTTCTATGTATCTCTTACAAATCTTTATATTAGGTTTTTTCGGCTTTCAACGCCGTAAACGACACCTTGTGATAAACTTATGAACCTTCTTGCTCATCACAATCCTTTTATAATCGGAATGCATTTACGTTTAACGTTACGAGTCTACTCCAACACTCTACAATAAATAATATTCAACCAAATACAAAAGACAATGACAACTATCAAGCTTCATTCGCATCATGCGTCTTTTGGTCGAATATAACTTATTTGACTATATTTTTTTAGGGTGAATGTCGGATGGAGAACGAAGGCCCGTGAATAGAGGCGAAGCATGAGAACGATGTCGCGACTATATAGCTGCATATTTGCCGTCAGTGTGCGCTTGTATAAAGCCATGCCGAAGGATCTCTTGCCGTGCCGTCCTACCAATGCACGCCAGGCCTAAGGGCACTCTTGAAAGGCCAATTTTTCTTTAGGACATCCTCAATTTGTTCAGGGTAAGCACGTCTTGACCGGCCCTTACCAACTTGGCCACTCGCCCTATAAATTTATTTCATACATCCTCTCCACATGTCCGAAACATTCTTCTTCCTATCCTAGTTACCACACCTACTTTCACGGCATATAATAAATTTCATAACATCTAACACAGCTACCTTCTTGCAGTAGTATTACGAATAACATATAAAACAGAACGAAAATAAAACTTACAGTCTTTGTGAAATACATTAATTTAATTAATTAAAACATTAAAGCGTTTAACAGAATAAATAAATAGAATATGTTGTCGCATCAAATTATCGAAAACTTAAACATGTATTAAAAAACATTCGGAAAGTTCTTGGAATGTGAATCGAGACTCCAACGTTACAATACTAGACTGAAATGTTTAACTTAGTGCTTCTCGTTATTATGGAAGTTGAATATAAATTTACTAAAAAGGTAACTCACAATTTCTTGTATTTCTTCAACCTCTGGTTAAAGTTAATAGGGGCGCCCCGGGCAGGCGACGCAGTCCTCTCTTGCACGGTCATTGTTGCCCCTAACACCTCCCCTAATCGGACCCAGTCCTCCGTTGTACTGAAGTCAGAATGCGCCAAGTCTAAAGCTAAAACAGTTTAAACAAATTTAACTAAACCTCTTATCGTAGCAAAACATTATATTACAAAATTCAAACCATGAAGAAAAAGGTACTATCTTCCTGTGTTTGGTCATGAAGATTGTAATATATATATTATGACGTCATATCTTTGTTTCAGTACAAACAGATACAAGCTACAAACAGATTCTAAAAATAGCGATTGCAAATTTGGTACAAGTCAAAATAAACAATGTAATTTGAGTTTAATATTAAAAAATTGGACGACGTAAAAACGTATACAGAGAGACATTTGTGCGACAATAATGGCTGAAATGAAATCTTTAAAATTTCAAACAAATGACGTCATGTATTATGTGTAGTCATCATATACTGTACTCTTCAGTTACCGGACTTCCGTCGCCAACGAATGACGTCATAAGTCAAATAATTATATACATAGGTATGAATGATAAGAAAGTTGAATTAGAAGAAGAGTTACTCACGTGTGACATCTTTTAGCTTATCGTAATGTTTAGCGAAGGCGCGTGATGTGAAGAAGAATATTATAAGATTACTTATTAAAATAAGTGCCACTGGGCCATAGAAATACGGGAGTGCTGCTTGATCCGCTAAAAAAAATAACATCTTTTAGAAATTGAAACGTCTTTACTCTGTCAAATTATCTAATTTGTATGATTGAATGATTGGACATAGAATGATAATACAAAAGCTCTTTCTATAACCCAATTCTTAACTGTTCGCCGATAAAAATCACAGCAATTGTAACCGGTAGACAAGCCTCTCAATTTAGTACATTTGATATTTAAAAAAATTGTCAAATACAAAATAGATTAAAAGTAAATTTTATTTTATTTTATTGTAATTTTACATTTCTACTTTACTCACTTTCAAACCAGCAAGCTTTAACACCAAAGTTGGGTTTAAGATAAGTACTAGGAACAGCTGGATGCAGCTGCATAGTGATGGTAACCACGAGCAAAATTAGAGGGAGAATGATTGCGTACGCGCAATACCACGCGAATCGCCGGCGCATACTTCTACGGGTTACTGATGAATTTATGTATCGTCTGAAAAAAAAAGATATTAGAGACGACGAAATCGAACAAAGTCTAAACAAAAAATACATGCAAAATTACATCATCATCAATATGGTGGTTTCATTCTTTTATAAATTACCACTTAGAAGTAAAAAAACAAAAAAAGATAGTAACTGCAAACAACATTTCGAATAACATCGATAAACAGTACCTATTGGGATTGAATAAGACATCATTACAGTAGTACCCACAAGTAATCAATGTGATAAAGAATATTTATCATGTAAGATTATGTTGTATAATGATAAAGTAATAAATAAAATATGCTACTAAAATAACAAGATGTGATACATATAAGATTTTTAAAGAATTAATAAACTTACTTGACGTTAAGGAAAGTGTCGAAGCACATAACATTCAACCAGAAGAAACAAGAAACAAATGAAAACTGGATGATATACGCTGAAACAAGCAATTTGACTAGTTAGACAATCCATCGTCACCACAGGAACGTAATTTGGCACTCATTGCAATTTGAAATACGTTGAGTAATCTTCGATTAAATAAATACTAATAGAAAAGAGTTTTATGACAACCTAGGCGAAACGTCAATTCTCTACCGAACGCAGCTATTTTTCTCATTTTCTTTACTTCATAGTTGTTTTTTTATATCTTTTTTTTTATTCAACCATCAAAATTTGGTCTACTGCACAACCAGTTCTATTTCTATGCTAGTTTCAAATTTTATTGGTCAAAGAATAGTGTGCAATTTGAGTAGATGCCGGAAAGTTGCGTACGCTCTGCTCACTGCGCTTCAATTATGCCCAGAATTACGTTAAAAATATGCCCATTATTTTAGAACTTCTTTTTTTAATTAGAAAAAGAGGCACTTACCTATAACTGTACAAACTGCTGTCGGAAAAGCATGTCCAGCCAACTGAGTGATGGCCAAGCAGCAAAATGCTATAGCTAAACACATAGAGTGACAAGCTAATGCCTTGCCGTGTGTGTCCCTTAACTCTCGGATGAAAATGTATACGAAAGCCGTGGCAAGTAGGAATGGCACAGATATTAATAAACCTGAAAGAGAACGAAATACTGTAGTAATTTTCGTTCAATACCAGGGCCCCGTTGATTGTTTTGGTAATTAATATTATTACGATGATACCATTACTATCACCGATGGCATAACTTTTTTCACTTCCGTCTGGGCTCTTCTTTTAGAGTACCTATCTACGTATTGTACCAATGTCCAAACACAATGTGGTTTGACAACTTGACAAGTCTTTGAAAAGTTTCTTGATTCTTGTTGCAACTAAATGTTTGCGAACAATATGTTTTCTTTCGGTTTCAAATTAAGTAGTGTTGCCGTATATTGTAATCTGTACTTGAATTTGAAGGATCTTAAATATATCCATACCTAACGATAATAAAAATCTTACGAACAAACTGATTTCTTGTAACATTTACCTGTAGCGTAAAGTATAAGAGTAGTAGATGAACTTTTCTTATCTTCCTCCTGTTGAAAGCATACCAAAGGCAACGTAAGTCCAGCTGGATAGGATTCATTCCAAAACGTCTCCATACAGTAATCTTTTGTCCCAAGCAAGTACGGCGATCCGTACGGTACAAAGAGGGTTCCATTTACTAATAGATAAAACTCGTCCATGCTCTCTTTGTACGGATTAAGTCGGTACCTGGAATAGATAACTTTGTTAGTCATTGAAGATTTCAGGTTGGTACAATTTGAAACGTGCCAGATTAAAGATATTCCCCTAAACACGTTAGTCAATAACTAAAGATATGTTTTTTTTTTATCTACTTGATATAGGAGCTAGCAACTTAAATGCGTCAACTTCTTTGAATTACTTTTGTGTTAATTTGCAGACCACCTTGACAATATTATTAAAAGTAAATCTCGTAAAAATCATTAAACATTTAACTTTAGTATCAATGTATGTTTAGATATCGTTGCACTTGAACATTGTTCAAATAAAAACATTGTTTGGTAGTTAATAACGTTGAATTCTGCAGTGCTGTACTTAAATCCTTAATACGATGTTGTGCTCTACTAGTGCGTGATGTAGAACTTGTACTAGTTTCTATTAAGGAGGAATTATCAGTGGACGGAAATTGTATCGGTTATCTAGTTCCTAGTTATCCGAAATTAGTCGCAATCTGAGCTTGGAATTTCCGCATATAAGAATAAGACTTGCATGTATTGTTATAAAAAGAAATAAGGGCTGTTTTGTACTACTCGATATAAGTAACTAATGACAACGGAACCAGAAAGTCTATGAACTTCAGTATTCACACTAAGTTTATCCTAAACGAACAACAAAGATTTGTAATGCAATCTTTTCAAAACCAACAATCTACGATCATCCATGACATCTATTCCTTTTTGTATTTGTCTCACTATTGTCTTTGTCATTAAAATACTTACACAAAAAATATACTGAATTTAAAATAATATTTTGAGCGAGCTTATTGGAGCTTTACTTATCCGAGCGTCAAATATCTCTTGATGGTGCTTCGTAGAAAGTCGAAACACGTGTCGTGATTTGAGTTGCGTCTGTGTGGTGGGAAAATTAACTACACAAAAAATTGTTCAACACAGGCGCAGCAATTTTGCACAATTTAACTCTTACTGAGTTCTTGAAGTAGCAAGGTAACTTACTTGCTATTATTATAATTTCCGCAAAGTAATACCTGAATGAATAAAGTTTTTAGAGGTAAAAGCGTGTTTAATATTTTTTTGTGCGCCTGGTGGCAACACGCCCAGGAAGTGCTGCCACCTTACCTATTTCTGCCGTCAAACAGTAATGTGAGCTATATTCCGGTTTCGAAGGGAAGAGTGCCGGTGAAATTGCAGACACATGGGACTTGTCAACGTATGTCTCAGGGTGACGGGGGCAGTGGCAGTGCCAATAAGATCTCTGCGATTTAACTGTGTGGCACTGCAACTGTTATGGACAGGCGTGTCGCTTACCATCAGGCGCACGACTTGTTCGTCCCGTCACTTGGTATTATAAAAAAAATAACTTAACAACACTAACTAACTAACACTGCCACTGCGCCCGTCATCCTGAGACATAAGTCTCATGTGCCTGTAATTTCACCAGCTCAAAACCGGACCACTGCAATGCTCACATTACCGCTTGGTGGCAGAAATAGATAAGGTGGCAGTACTTCCCTGGACGTAGTCTTTCACAAGGACCTATACTGCTACTAAATAACATAATAACAAATATCTACCTGTCATATTTGCACGGATTTCCAACTATAGTCTCGAAGACGTTGCTATCGTAGCTAAAGATGTGCGTTTCATTGGCTTGATGAAACACGGGCTGGAAGGTGAGTGAGGATCTTGAACACAACCACTTCTCTCCTATGCTCGAATGCGTCAGGTTCTGGCCGCTAGCGCAGCATTTTGGGACAACTGGCAGTTGCTTCTTTACTTCTTCATCCTGTATAAAGAAAGGAGAATTAATACGATACAATGTTAAAAACTATATACCTATGTAAGTTCTTATTTTAACCGAGTTTAAAAAAGGAGGAGGTTTTTTTGTATATGTTACGCGATTACTCCGACAAACGGATTTCGATGACAGTTTTTTGTTGGAAAGGGTCCTCCAGTTGTGGTCCCATTCGAAAATGAAGAAAATTTTCTACCTCTAAGGGTAGCAAATTAGGAGATGAATCCAGTTTATGTGATTTCACCTATTTTCCGCTAACCGATTTCAATCAAACTTGGCAAATACATGTAATTCTACAATTTTTTTAATTCAACTTTTATTTATAAAAACGTTATACTTAATTATTTTCTAATATACTCCCGCACACACAATTCGAGCCACCTCGCATTTTTGTCGTAAAGGGCTAGAGTACAAAAATAGTATTATCATCGAAGAAAAAGTTTTCCCCCGGTTTTGCGAATCCAAATTCCTAACAGTGACTTATGGAAAATACGTTTAGTACTATACTAGTTTCCAATTTGCATAATAGTTTGTGATCAATCAAACATTGTTTAAACTTAGGGCATTTAATACTGAAAATGCGTGATGACTCGAAACATGTGTCCGGAAGTGTATAAATAACAACAACCCTCATCACTAAAAGTTAAAAAGTGTAATGAAACATAATCAATATGCCGTTTTATCCAATTTCAAGCACTATCAACTACTTGTACAACAGGTAAGTATTTAGGACTAAACATTAATATATAATAAGATTCATGCTACGAGCATATTCCGTGAAAACATCAACAGAATATTAAATGACAAGGAAAAACCTTCCCGGTAAGCCAAAAACCCCAATGATGCAACAGAAATGGGTCAAACAGTCATCCTACATGAAAGCCAATTTACAAGAAAGGTCAAGCTAATTACGGCTGTCATTCAAACAATGATAAATTGGACAAAATCATATGACGGGCCTAATCAGAATTCACAGCCAGCGTTTGAACTTTGACGTTCGTTCTTCGCCAGTAACGTTTTCCACAGAAATTGGTCACGTAACAATTCTTTATGATAACATCGGCTATAAAAGTCAATAGGTACAAAACAAACTATGCTAGTTCCGTAAGTATCATGCACTAGAATACACTGATTCACAGTAATATGAATCGTCTTTGCGATCATCGTATAGGGAAAGTTAAAACTTAAAGGATAAAGGCGTAGGCGTTCTTGGTTTAAAGACGAAAGTATTTTTGTACATAAATTAAGACATTGTTTTGCCGACTGTCGTACGTATAATTGTTTTTCTGAATTATATATATATATATATGTGTGTGTGTGTTTGTGTGTGTGTGTGTGTGTAGACAAGATCATTGGAAGTCAGAGTAGTTCACCAAGTCCATTGCCATTATACATTTTCGACAATGTGTCGCTGTTACGATCGGTGGAGTCGTTATCTCTTCTGTATATGCCTAAAGTTCAAAGGATTGTCGATCCGTAATATTTTATCCGTCTTCCATTTATCGAAAGCCGTCGCTTGTTTTGTAAAACTTGCGCAACTTAGTCCCAAGTGACCCATAAAAAGAAAATAACATAGGCCAAATCATACTTCAAGTTGGGACATTGTTGACATAACGCGGAGGGCTGCGTTGACAAAAAGTTCAATATTGGAGACGCCAGTTGCCTCACTGTGCGCTTGTTAGGGACGTGCTCAGTGCACGTAATGATACTGACTAGAGTTACGCAGATTGTGCGCTGGTTGTCTATGATATTGAGATTTCCTTACGGCAAACATTTCTATGCGGATACATCCGTGACCCTAAAGTTCAAAAGTATTCGTAACGAACATGGACGGTGTCTAGACGTAGAAGTGGTCATTATTACAAAAGCAGATAATGTAACGCGTTATTCTTACGCAATGTATTACTTATTATCGAACAACGTGTAAACTGCTGTTGTTATACTGTTATTCTGCAGTTGCGACTGCATCGCGTGAACAAACAAGTATCCAATAGGCTGTGAGAGAGAAATGGCGCTAATCATATGATTGGACGATATGCAAATCTTACGATTATAACCTTTCTTTTATATTTTATACTATCTATTACCTTATTGTTATAAGTCACTATTTGAAACTACGATTTTGTGCTTTCTGCAATTGGAATAATGCCAACTTTAATATTTGAAATCAATAGGCAGTTAATATCAAACATTTTAAATACAAGTAACTGGTGCTGATACTAACAGCTATTTTGTTTTGGTTTATTGGTTAATAGTTACCTGAAAAGTAACATTTTTGTGTGCAAAAGTTCGTTTTTCACAAGTTCGTTTTTTAATTAAAAATTCTAATTGAAAAAGATTTAAACGTAAATCCTAAAAATAAAAAAGTAAGTACATTCAAAAAAAATTAAACTATAACCAATAATTGATTGATTTCACCGTGCGCCATTTCGACTTAGTTTTTTGTCACTTTTTGGTGCATTCACAAATTATTTAGGATTTACAATAACAAATATAGTCGAATTTCGGCAAAAGTTAGGAAAATAGCATTAAATACAAAAATTACCTACATATTACGCGATAAGTGTTTCGAAAACTGTTAGAAATCTAATCATCTGGCAACACTAATATAAAACAATATTCATTCGCTATTATTGTCATGTTGTATGCAAAAACTACGAAACAGCGGAATAACAGGTTATCTGACAACAGTTTACAATAATAGTTATTGCAAAATCGTATAACGACATAATTAATTATTGACAAACAGCCGTTTTTGCCATATCTAAGATGCGTTCGACACAGCGCCAGTTACTACATATGATTTGTATATTGTATTATTCTTGTTATACGTGGGGCGCACTATATAGTTTCCGGAATGAATTAGAAAAATATACTATAAATGGTCAGAAATTAATTCATTGTTACTCAAAATATTCTCCGTTAGCGTTAATGCACGTTTTCATACGAATGAACTAATTTTGAAAACAATTATGCCACTCCTCCGTGACAATGTCTGAAACATATTTTTCATACTCTTCGACAGCCTCTTCAGGTGATGAAAATCGTTGACCGCGTAACTGATTCTTAATTTTTGGAAAGAAATAAAAGTCTCAAGGTGCCAGGTCGGGATTGTACGCGGGATGGGTCATAAGGTCAATGTTGTTCACCTTCAAAAATTCATTTGTCTATCTGGCCGTATGAGAACTGGCATTGTCGTAGTGCAAGATAATACGGTGTTTACGGTTATTTTGAAGGAGTTTGTCAATAACTTCCGGCCAACAAATGATCTTGTATCAATCACTATTCACGGCACAACGATTCTCCAAAACAACAGTAGCCACGTGTCCAGTTTTATTAAAAAAAGAAGCAATCATCCGCTCAGAGGCACTTTGCACGCGCGCCACTTTGGTTGGTTTCAGCTCATCTCGAAAGATCCATACGCTCGATTGCTGCTTTGTTTTGGGATCGTAACTATAAATCCATATTTCGTCACCTGTTACTATGTCCCACATCAAATTTGACGCACCTTCGTTGAATCTGGTAAGCATGGCATTACACCAAATGACGCGGTCCGTTTTTTTCAGCCTCAGTCAAATTGTGTGGGATCCACTGATAGCACTGGTTTTTCACACCCAAATGTTTGTATAGTATTGATTTTATTTGACTCATGCCTACGCCTAAAGATTCCCGAATCTCATGCTATATCCCATGCCTGTCTGTTTTGATCATACGGCGCACAGCATCGATGTTTTTGTTGTTCACAGCAGAGGACGGGCAACCATCACAAAATTCGTCACTAAGATTCACACGACCGCGTTTGAATTTTGCAAAAAAGCTATAAATAGTCATCTTGCGCGGTGCTTCATTCATTCAGCAATTTGAAGCCGAGCGAAGCTCCGCTACGCTGTTAAATTACACTCAAAGTCGTAGAAAATCATACTACGAAAATTTTTACGAGTTAAATCCATGGTGATGTAGACAACCAATTTCTAAAATGACGCCACAATGTAAAAACAAGTGACAATCAGATAAAACAAACTGTATTCTACAGCCAAAGAGTTCCATTTTCAAATGTTGTAATTACTTTTTAAATATTGTTTATGCAAGTGGCCAGTTCCGGAAATTTATAGTTCGCCCAATGTATTTAGTTGTTGTATATGGTTTTTTGTTCCTTTTATCTGTTTTATTTCTCATAATAACCGCCTCCATGGCCGAACGGTTATTACTGTGGTTGTCTATGTTTCTGTCCATGGTACCCGCGATACAGGGTTTCCTTAGTACGGAGCTATGACTGTGTGCGTTGTTATTTTAATTCCATACTATTCCGCATCTTCTAAATGTGGCAAATAAGGCATCAATAAAAGTCGAGTAATGCCTTTAGCAGAAGGGCACGGACTAACTAATTGTGTTCAATTTGGCTTCACCGCGCTCGAAAGCGAAAATACTTTGATATATCAATATGACGCTTAACAAAATTTCGTGGTGCAATAGCTATATTCACCACTACAATCTGTGGTATCACTTATAGAATATAGATATTGGATTTAATAAAGGGTACATACATAGTTTTTTATTAACGTTAGTAGCAGTAGAGCTCCTTGTGAAAGAGTTCGTCCAGGGAAGTAGTGCCACCTTACCTACTTCTGCCACCAAGCAGTAATGTGATTATTACTGCGTTCCGGTTTTAAAGGGTAAGGATGCTGGTGAAATTACAGGCACATTAAACTTGTCAACTAATGTCTTAGGATGACAGGCGCAGTGGCAGTGCCTCTCAGATCTTTGAGACATGTCGATTACCATCAGGCGCACGACCTGTTCGTCCCGTCACTTGATGTTATAAAAAAAAATCTTCGAATTCATCAGAAGATGCAGAGGCATCAATTTCTTGTGATATGTGAGGTCTTTTTGTTGATTCGTTTTGTAACTTTTTCATAAGACACACTATTTGTAATATTGATTTGTTTGTAATGTGATTTGTTCAGTTGATTGTAATGGCTAAATGTTGATTA